TGCAACTAGTTAAGAGCTGGTCTACGTCAAACGTGATAGGTAACACTTTAAAGTTACGATACGCTTTCAGGCCTTTGAAAAAGACGATTTTGTCGAAACGTCAGGCAATAAAGATTTCACCATTAACAACCTGTATGGCATAGAAGAATTGACTAATCAAAGCTGAAACTGTCATCCTGGCAGGAAGACTCTCACATATTAATTAAGGTTGTTCTAGTGGAAAAATTGAAGAACCGCTTCATTTACACTGGGTTTTGCAGATCGATTATCTTGCGGAAAATGCAGAGCAACAAAAAATAGTCCTTCAAAACGAAGAAAAGAATCTTGTATCGATGGAGAAGCAAGTGAAGGAAAGCAAAGAAAAGTTAGAGAAGGTGGGGCACTGGAGCACACTGATTACGTAGTTTTTGTTGGCCACATTTGTAGTTTTCAACTTTCTTCTTTGTAGGTTTCCGTCGAGCTCAACGAGATCAATAAACAACTATCAGATGCTAGTGGTGACTCGGCAGAATCTGAGCGAGTAAGACGCCGCAACGAAGCTATTGAAAACCTGAAAAGGGTTTTCCCCGATAAGGTACATGAGAAATTGCAAGCTAATTTGGATTATTTTCACATTATTTTTCTTTTTTGTTTGTCGGGCAAACGTTTTTATGCAAACGCCTGAATAGAGATTTCATAAGTCTATTCTGTTTTGTTTAAATGATACATATTCAGATTCACGGTCGTTTGGTTGATCTCTGCCAGCCTAGCCATAAGCGTTTCAACTTGGCTGTGACAAAAGTGCTCCAAAAGCATATGATGAGTATCGTTTGCGACTCGGAAGAGACTGCCAGAGATGCCATCATGTATTTGAAGGTTACTCAACTTCTACTATATATTTAAGGCCTTGTGTAATGCCGTGTTCACGAATTTTCGGTTCTTTCTCATTATGCATAGAGAGACGGCCCACTTGTGCGGATTTATCGAGGCTGGGGCAACCAAAAAGGAACAGTAGCTAGCAGGCGTAGAGGAATCAAGCAAACTCACCCTATTAAGCAACTAAGAGCTTTAAAGAGACTGCGCAGAGATCATAAGCTACTTTTAGTTCAAAGCCTGTTCATTTTTTGGCAGGTGATCTGAAGAAAAATATTTTGAGCCGTTCTTCCATACGGTGTGAACTGAGAGTGATTTTTTCAGTGCTATGATAAAGTCTAGTTTGGGTTTCTTTTCAATTTTTCATCGAAACCTGTCTTTCACTGGGTGCTTTTAATTTAAGGAGCAACGCTATCCCCCGGAAACCTTTCTTCCTCATCATGGTCTTGACGTCCATCCCATCAATGAAAAACTCCGTGAGCTCACATATCCAAAAGGAGTGAAATTAGTTTATGACGTGATCCAGGTAAGCCCCACTTTCTTTTCCCATTTGTTTCCCATTTACTGTCTGTCATTGAAGTGCAACCATCCGGCTGCAAGGAAGGCACTGCAATTTGCAAGTGGTAATGCACTCATTTGTGAAACAGCTGAGGATGCTAGGACGCTTGCATATGGTAGCGCTGGTGGTGACAGGTTTGTCTGTAGATTTATGGGTATTCAGTTCACTAACGAAGTTATATTTCACTCGGTTTTCTACAGATACAAGGCTGTTGCTTTGGACGGAACCATGTTCCAACAAAGCGGAGTAATAGGAGGTGGTAGCCATGAGTTGAAGTTGCGTGCAAAGAAATGGGATGAGAACGCGTTGAAGTAAGAAATTGAATGTTTCGTAAAGTTCTCTAATCTCACAGCTCCCTTATTGATGACGGTAGAACTGTAGAGTATTCGCATGCGTAACATCTCTTTCTTCCAGGCAGTTGCGTGAGCGTCGAGCGCAGCTCCAAGAGGAGAGCAACAATCTACATAGAACTCGACGAAAAGAATTAGACGTTGAGATGCAAAGGTAGGGGGAGTTCTAAACGAATCTGCAGTAGGCTCATTTATTAATGTACCAGAAAATATTTTTGTGTTTGCTCTTTTTTGCTTTTCTTATTTTTTTCTTTGCTCGATTGTAAAGCAAATCTTTTTGCTTTTTTCCAATCGTCTTTTTCCAGTTATTAAGTCTTTTGTTAGCTAGCTTGCCTGTAAACTTCCAGGAATAAACTAACCTCTGTCGAATATCGACTCAAAAATATGCAGCTCGAAAAAACGAAGTGTGAGACTGATACTCTCAACAAGTTAACATTCGAACTTGAAGCCTTGGAGTCTGAACTCAGTGTGATTCCGGTGAGTGCCTAACTCGCTCATCCTTTACAACATGTTCGAGGCATTTTTCGTATTGATGAGAAGTTTCCAGCCGAAAATAGAAGAAATAGAAGAGCGCATGCAGGAAAGGGAGAGAGAAATAGCAAAGATTGAGGCGAAAAGCAATGCTGTTGCCGATGATGTGAGCGGTTTTCAATTCTCTGATTTTCGTTTTGCTGCGCAAATGTCACTACTCAGGTGTTTGCTAACTTCTGCAAGAAAGTTGGAATCAAAAATATCCGCGAGTACGAGGAACGTGAGATGCGGTATGGTTATTTTTGAAATCTAATATTTTGCAGCCATTTTTCGATTGTTTTAACCATGTACCTGTTCAGATTCCATCAAGAGAGAGTTGACCGCATGCGAGAGTTCGATAACGAACTTGATCGTATTCGCAATGAGCTGGAGTACCTGCGTTCCGAGGACAAACATAGGAAAGTTAAACAAGAAATGGACAAGGTTAACTAATTAATAAATTAAATTAACATGATTAGAAATAGTAGTTACAGAAGGTGTCTATATTACGGTGAGAAAATTTTAAGGTGAAAAATCTTGAAAAGGAACTAGAGGCACTGAAGAAGAAAGAAACCAAGGAGGGGAAAATTCTCGAGCGCTTGGAGAAGGAGATGGAGGACCTGAAAATTGCTGCCATGGAAAAGAAGAATGAACAGGAGGCGTTAGAAGCAGAACTTGCTACTGTGAAAAAGGAAGCTCAGGTGAGTGATACACTGTTTCAGTTGCCGTCACACTCTTGTCATCTTTTCTGAGAATTCGTCCTCGCCTCGAACCTTTTTTTTTTGTTTTGGAATTGATTTTGAAGCCTTATATATAAGAACAGAATTAATGGTCTATGCAATTCTCAGTCATCTTTTGGAGCAAAGAGGGGTAACGGAACTTCTCCCGAATTCCCACGACGTGCAGCAGTGGTTCCCCTGCGACTCTCCGTATCCTTCGAATGGGAATTCAAATCTCTTCCTTTATAGCGCGCGAGGGCGACGCGCCGTTCGGGGAGAAGATGTCAGACCCGAGTGTAGGGAGTGCTCGTCAAGAATGGGAGTCGCGATCGCTGATTATTTATCATTCGAGTGGAATCTCCTTTCACTACTACATCCCAATATGACAGAGCAGACGTTGATAACAGCNGTTCTGCACTTCATTCACCACTCCTTTCCCTAGACTATTGTATGAAGGGTTATGTGGGAGGCAGTTGTACGTGGGCGGATACCTGTAAAAAATGTCATCATAACGTACTTGCGTTTTCACCTTAAACCTTGCAATATCAGGGTCGCGATAATGTTTTTGCCCCTTTCATCACTGTCTTAGTGATAACTATTAATCAAGGTGTAAGGCGCCATGTGTCATTGTTCTACGTCTTGAGCAAAACCAGTTTTCTTCTGCTTTTCACAAGCAACGCGGACTTATGGCTGAGTTGTTGTTACTGAATCGATAATTTATCGCGCGAGTAGTAATGTTTACACCACTTGCATCTGCTATCTCCCAAAGGCTCATCGTATCGTGGCTGTTCTCATGTGATCTCAGTCTCTTGTCGTTGATGACTGTCCCGCATTTTGGCCCTCTTTCTCTCCATTCGTTGACCCTCCTTTCACCCTCGTTTGACAGTTAAAGCAGAAGAATCAAATCTGCTCGAGTGTTTTGAGTGTTTTTCTGCTTGCCAGCTGAATGACATTTTTTCGAATTGCTTAAACAGATACTCCGCGTCATTTCTCAGGCATTCAAAGTAACTAGAACTCTTAAACTCTTGAAGTTCTCATATAACTGTTGCCTAGTTGGTAATTGCAGAGTTGTCGTTTCTCTAACAGTTGTGCCTATGAGTAGGAATTATTACCTAACCTTTATGCCTTTCACGTGTGTTATGACCCTGCAAGTAATTTATAGGCAGCTCAACGCGATGTGACAAGTGCCGAGAAAGCAGTTCTAGCTCTTGAGAGCGTAGTAAGTAGAAAACATGCCGAGAGGCATGGACTGCTGCGTTCAGCGAAGATCAATCAAATTCAACTTCCCCTCATATCGGGTAGTTTGGCTGATGTTGATGCCGAGGATGAAGAAGGTATTTATCTTCCCCTTTTTTAACCTGTTTTTTTTTNTTTTTTTTTCTTAAAATTGTTCTGTTGCTTTTTGCAGAAATGGATGGAAGTCAGCCATCAGGCTCTAACAACCTCTCGCAGGAACAGATAGAAAGGGAAGCGAAAATCAAAGCCAACTATAAACAGTTGCCTGAGAACTTGAAAGATGTAAGGCTGAATGATTTATTATCATTACATTCATCGTGACCGTGGCTTCCTTTTTTCAGCTTAAAGACGAAGAGGAAGTGAAGAGACATGTCGAGAGAATGAACAAAGAAATAAATGATGCTCAGGCTACTTTGTCACGATTAAATGCGCCAAATCTAAAAGCAAGTCAAAGGTATGTAGCTGGTTCAAATTTCCCTGCTGTAGGAATTCACATCTAAATCACATTTTCGGTACCACTGAATTTTGAAGTTGCTTCTGCTTTTTACTGCACTTCATCGTTTACAGACGCATGCTTCGAATTTTCTGTTGTTTCTTTCTTGAACTATGTCAAATGATTTTTAATGTCAGGATGGAAGAAGTCAAGGAGCGAGAAGCGGAAACCACTGAGGAATGTGAAATGGCCCGAAAGAAAGCCCGCAAAATCCGGTCATACTTTGAAAAAATCAAAACGGAGCGATATCGCAAATTCCAGGAGTGTTTCGAGCCTGTTAGCCAGAAAATTGACGAAATATATAAGGTAATTCATGACTTGAGTGATTCAGTATAGTAAGCATAGCAAAAACGTGTGCCATTATTCAAATGAGAGCAAGAGAGACTCCGTTTTGAGGCTTTATCCCGAAATGCTAGCGCTCAAGCCTTTCTTGGAGCGGACAACATGGAGGAACCATATTTGGAAGGCATACAGGTTAGCTGTCTCGTTTTTGATAGTTTTTTTTAGAAGTTTAAGTAGTTTTGAAGGATTCCAGTATTGCATTTAATTCTGCTGCATGATGTTTGTTGTTTTAGTACAACTGTGTTGCACCTGGAAAGCGCTTCAGACCAATGGATAATCTTTCTGGAGGAGAGAAAACTGTAGCTGCTTTAGCGCTATTATTCGCCATGCATGCACGAAATCCATCTCCTTTCTTCGTACTGGACGAGATCGACGCTGCACTTGATAATACGAATATTGGAAAGGTGCCAGATTTATTGCAATTTCAGTGCTGCTTTCATTTTGGGTCAAAGGCTACTGCATAAAAGAGGCGTGCCAGTATCGAAGAGTGTTGAGTCACTCACAGTTAACCCAGCTTCGAAAATTTCCATTTTTTAACCCAGACACAAGTTTTTTGTGCACTGTCAATATTCTAATCCGAACCTGCTAACATCGGATGGTATCAGGTTCAGAAGCAGCCGAAGTAATTCAGGAATCTATTTCTGTCATGAAGCACTTTGGTGTTTACAGGTGTCTTCCTTCATTTGTGAGTCTGCTCGCAGCGATGTGCAGATCATTATCATCTCTCTGAAGGAGGAATTTTACAATAAGGTAGGTTTTTCGGTTGGCGATGAGCAAGTGAGTCAACAACAACTATGAGATTTGTTGATAAACTTATTAGTATTCTATGTGTTAATAAGTTTATCAACAAAATGTCCTAATGAGCTGTTGTTGATAAGTCTCCCTCGTGGTCTATTGGTTCTGAAAATTGGGCGTCGAAACTCATGTAAAGTTATGTGGTATTGTAAGTGTACATTCTAGGCTGATGCATTGATTGGAATTTATCCGGAAGCAGCTGCGATTTGCCCTACTTCCGGTGTGCTGACCTTTGACCTAACACCGTACAAACAGACTGGCCTAAATGACACTAGCATAATGGAAAGCACAGTTGTGAATCCGTAACGTAAAATTTCTTTGGGTTTCTAGCACCCTAAAAGGCGACGGAAACAAAGATCTCAACTTTCATGTGTAGGTGATTTGTGTTGTAATATCTAATATGTAGTAGCTTTCAATTACTCCCGTGCTATCGTTTTTTGTTCTAATTTTTTTCTGCCTGCTGTACTCTCGGTGTGAAGCATACGTAGCATAGAGAGCAGATGTTGTAAGTTTTCACTTTTCTGGACTGCTTGGAATACTAAGCTAAGCTGCATATGAAGAATCTCAAATCCATTACTTTATTACATTTTGCTGCTTTTTTTAAATTTGTTTTGTAACTTGGTTCCCGTGTGTCAATTGAAAAACTATTTATTATCACTTCTACCATTTTTCAAATCACTTGTATACTTCTTATCTTTTTGTAACGCTGTCACTTTTCCTGTAGACAATTTGCTCCATAGTTCTTTTTTCTTCAAACTAATTACAGCTATATTTTTTTGCGGCTGTGACACAGCACTTAAGCATTTAGACAGATACTCATTATTTCATGTTGATTATATTGTCTACTTAACGTTCCACTGCGTTGCGTACATTCCCATGTGGGAAACCTCACCTGTGAATAGTTTTTTTTTTCAATAAAGTGCTATTTATCCTGACTTGAGATTCCAAAGAAAGTGTTTTCCTCACAGTACGTTTTCTTGGTGCATATGTTGTGTTTATTAAAGATATCGATGGGATTTTGACTTCAATAGAAAGGTTTACGCTTGAATTGGATTTAATTGATGCTTTACATAGTTGTAATTTTTTTCATTTTTGAGGAGGGTAACGTAGTTGAGTTTATCCTATTTGTTGGTTTTCATTTCAGTGCCTACGTAAATGTAAATGTAATTGTATTTATTTTATTTATTAATCAGTCCGCTATCAGTTAGGGCAGTTTCAAGGAAAAATTACGGGCTTTCGGGAAGAAAATTTGGGCGATTTAGCTGATGCAAATGTATAGTTGTGTGCAGCGGATCCGGTGGTAGTTGAGGCCGTTCAATTTTGAGCGTATGCATGTACTTGAAATGAAGAGAAATTGAAGCATACATATAAGGTCATAGGTAAAGCAAGCTTGACATCAATCCGTAAGCAAGACCAGTGCGTGGCTTATCTCTGAGCAAAGATAGACCAATCTAGGATGACCCGCTTTTCAGCCATCAAAATTCCAAAAATGGCTCCATTCTTCTTCGAAGAGTGTAGTTAGTATCCTTTCTTCCAGAACATCCTACAGCCATGAGCGTATATTGGTTCAAAAATTTCGCTGGTATTCGTCAATCTGAATTCGAACTACTAAAGGTGCCAAATCCTACTGCAGAGTTTTGTATCCACGTCACGATGAGAAGCATACAGGTGAGAAAAGTGAAGAAGTGGCGTTATATGAAGGGTTGTACGAGTGGATCTTAAAGTGTACTGTTCTATATTTCCATTCAGAAACCCGTTTTGGTACTAGCTAGTTGTTACGCATTTTAATGCTAGATACCCTTTGAAAAATAAAATAACGTTGTTGTAAATTGTAGTCTTTTTACAACTGCTGGCTGATGACGCTAGAGAGCAAAGCATGAGACCACCTGAACACAGCATGAGACCAGTGATTGAATTGTTCCTTTCCTTCATCTTCTTATCAGTGGTGTAACTTTTTAGTTTTTCTTTCGAGTTCTGATCAGCAGGTTCCTCGCCAAATGTAGACTTTCGTTAGTGGGAAGAAACGAGCTGGGTTAATTTAAATGAGCAGGTGAGGAAATTAACCCCCTCCCCCCTCTAAAGATCTCAAAGCTGAGAGAAAGGGAAGGGCTGGATTTGCTGAGTGGGCAGTCGTTTAACCCCCATAATCTATATGGTTTACTAGGAAGATGCTTCTACTAGCTACTAGCTCGGTAGCGGCTTTTAGAAAAGTCAGAGTTTGTTCCAAGTGATGGTAGCAATGAATGGAAGAGCTTGGAACTGACAAAAGTGTTTCGTTTGTGTACGGTTGATAATCATAATATTCCGTCTACCATTTTCAGACCGGAGCTCTTCTTGGCTCGATTCTCGGCCCTCTGACAGCAATGATGTTTGAAGGCAAGAAGATGAATTCAAAATATATCCGGTGAGAACTGGTGTTCAGTATGTGCAACATATGTGATCTCTGAGGCAAAATCCTGTGTCGCTTGACCGCTTAACCGGGGCGACCGCTTGACCACCCCTTTTAAGATGTGATTATAATGGTATTGCTCAGACTTTACGGCAATTTTTGGGAGTTTTGTTCTTGGCTGTTTGTTCAATTAACTGTGTGGGATTATTCCGCACCCGCACATCCTCAATTCTGGCTTCGAAGGAGCTGATGGTAGGGAAGACAGGAGGGGGAAGGGAGCGATGTTGGAGTACTTTTTGTGAAAGCATCTGCCATCCAGGTACTACTGAGATTTATTGAGTGTTGATTACAATTTCCTCGAATTTCAGTGACACATTCGTAGGCGGTGGCACAACCGGAGCAATGATCGGTGCATTGATGGGACCAGCCCTAACCTACTTATCGCTCAGAGACATGAATACTCTACAGTTATATGACAAATGTTACCGGTTGAGGTAAGTCAGGAGCCGCTCTGGAATCCTCTCAAATGTTTTTTGAAATAACCCTGGTTTGTATACGTTTATCCTCAACGATCTTTCAGATTCGACAAGCAGCAGCTATGGCAGGATCGTTCGTGCGTAGTGTCAGCTGCTATCGGTTATTTGGCCAACGGTTCAATGGGATTCGTAATTGGACTAGATTTGGCTGTGCTCATGAGCAACCTCATGGGAAAAGCCTGGTAACTATAGGAGCGTAGACATAGCGAACTTTTTTTTTGACTCGCCATAGTTCTTATTCAACTGTACTCTTCCCTTTTCATGACTCGTGGGTGTCCTGGTCGTTTTAGAGGGTAGGAAATTTATATCATGCCCAGAAAGTTGAAGTCACAAATTTAAGCATCACAACCATTTCCTCAGTATTGGGCCAAGTTATTTTGTATGAAATTACAGTGTAGACAAGTCTTCCACCGTAATCATTTTATCCTGAAAACTGCTGTTAACGTTTTATCTAGGATTGAACTAACCTCGTATTGTGTTCCTAGTCAGTATAAGTTGCCATCAAGTATCATCCAGCGCTGAAAGCGTTTGACAAAGTGCTTTTCGGATTACTCTGTTAGGGCAATTTTGTCTGGGCCAGTATTTTTTCACTCATGATGAAGTATCTGCCCTAGTCCTATTAGTCGCTTGTGATCTTGCATTTACTACTTGACAAGTTTCATATTCGCACAGTTGAGTTCCTAGCAGTAGTTATGATAGCATTGTTAGTTCATCTGTGCCTTTCTCCGAGAGGCTGCTTTCATAGTCCGCCGGCCGGCCCGCGAGCGCGCGAGCGAGCGAGAGGCGGCGCTTGCCCCTTGTTTACAACTGAATCTTGGTCGATACCCCCGGCATTCGGTATCGACCAAGATTCAGTTGTAAACAAGGGGCAGTAGTCCCCCGGCCGGCGGGCTATGAAAGCAGCCAGAAATTTTCTATTTTGCAACTTTTTCTAGTGAAGTCAGTGATCTGTGAAAATCCACTTTCTGAAATAAATATCGCATTCATGTGTTAGATGATCTCAGATACAGGTTTATTTGCTAATATGAAAGAGATGAATGGAAAATAGCCAGGAATCCTTAAAGGCACACTTCACAAAAATAAAAAAATGGGTTGGGATGTCCCGTTTAGGATGAATCCGTGGCCCCAAATTATGTTATACGTGAAGCTGTCACATCGAAAAACGGCCCAGATAGGGCACAATAACTATGTAGGATGTGTGCCATTAGGTAGGAACGCGGCGGAGCGTGTTGTCCGTTGCGCGCGACAAATTAGCGTGGTCGAGAGGAGACGGGCAGTGGGAACGGTTCCGTGTAATCGATCTGCCGCACGCGGCTGTCGCGGACCATTTGCCTCATTATAACTGTTCTTGTGTTCTTCATACAGCTCAGTCGCTACGCGATTAATACTTTTGGCATGATACTACTGTTAGTTCTTTTGTTCCTGTATTTCTTACTTGCCACGCGCTACGTCTTTCGCTGCGACGCGACAATTTCGTTCCTACTGCCCAAACCCGTGGTCGAGTAACCTACCGGAAAAAGAATCGTCAGGTCTCACGTAAATGTGTCTCGCCTGCTAAATGCCCAGCTCGCGTATCCTCCCATTCTGACCTAATGCCGTAAGCAGTCATGCTTTTTGAGGGTTGTTCAGATAGGACTGCGATGATAGCATGGGATAAGGTGGACTATCACCATGAGCTATCATAGCACTAATCAACGTGACGGCTCGAAGGGTAGTTCATTTCATAGTTGTTGTCATGGACGATGGTCGATAGTAACTTGGTAAGAGTCTGGCCATTCTGCTTCGAGCTAGTTCAGGAAAACGCTATGAAGTTGCAGTTCGAACTTTCCAACAACGCATTACCAATTGTTCGATGCCTGTTCCAATTTTATATCATTCTAGGTGAGTTCTGAAGACTCTCAGTCTACCGTTGACAACAGCCTATATCGAAAAGCCAATTCTTCGGATTCTCTCCTTCGAAGGCGGATTAAGCTTCGGCAAAGACGGGTCAGGGAGACACCTATCTCTCATGCTCTTCTGCTGACAGAATGGTAGTTCTCAGTAGATCTAAGTAGAATTGGCCTCTGCTGCTTCAGACGATATCCTTATCTGGCATGTGCTCTCCGTGGGGGTGTGCAAGACAGTGCTCATTCCATTGGCGTCAGGGCGGACCCACCGAATTTCACTGCAAAAACGTTGCTCATTGCGATACTACCGACTCCTCTGGGTCTACTCGGGCCGATCTTCTTAGTCGATCGCCGGAAAATGTGAAGTACCCCACTTGATTAGTACTGATAAGGATGGCCTTCACTATCTCATTCATGCGCACTCTGATTATGAGCATCACAACTCTGCTATCACCATGACTTATGTTAGTAGAGGTTTCTTCACATTGCCAGTGCCCACAGAGAAGCGGAATATCAGCCGAGAGTATCGCCCCAGATCAGATGAGAGAGCGAGATTGCTCAATTTCCCCTTGCGATATTATTCCAAGAAGAACCATATAATTGCGATTGTAGTTTACAGCTGTCAATCCCCATGGAAATCATTGATTATTATCAATGTCGACCGGTATCATAGTGCTTATTGTTAGAGCTGTCCTTCAGATCACTGATAACCTATTCCGGAGTTATCACTTCACTAGATCTGTGCCTTACCAAGTTGCTTTGGTGTTCTACTGCAAAAGATTGTTTAGTACCGACTGCTTGTTTGATCACTTTACAAATTGGTATTGATCGATATCGATTGATTAGTGGAGTAAACACCTAAAAAGTGCTCAAAGCACAAGTGTCTATCAAAGTAGAATCTATGCTGTATAAGCGCTATCAGTAACATTACATCTACCTACCCTTTCGGCTTCCTCCCGATGGTTACTAGCTCAGTTTGCGGTGGGTTTTCGGCATAACTGCTACCTTTATCATAATCATGAGAAGTTTCATGCTGGGACAGACATACAGACAAGCACACAGGATGGCAGGACGCTGAAAAAAATCGACACATCATGTTACCACTTTACTTGTGAGAGGTTTACTACTAGTTGAGAGCAGATAGGGTGCGATAGTTGGGTAGGATCCAAATCTGTTCTGCCTTCTTGATTTCGATTGTAAAGAATCATCTACTATCGTGTCTCCAATCGAGTGTTGTGAAGTTTAGATATTGGATGTATAGGATGACAAATGGAAGTCTAAGGAAGTATAGCGCATCAGAAGTAGGGTTGTACCGTCCCCTGAATGCTTGATCCAGTAACCCTACCAACCATTCCGTGAGACTCAATCAAAGTACATTCTTGTTGCATCGTATATGTGGGGAAGGGGGNAAGGCGTATGAGTGTGAAGCCGGGTAACTGTGTGACACATTACGAGACTTTGAAGTCGTCTTGTTACCCCACCTTCAGATCCACGTGCCCCACTCCATACCCTACTACTACACTCCTCGCCTTGAGCGAATTCATTAGGAGAGGAACTTCCGCTCGGATCTCACTTTGATGTCTCGACATCACGGGTGCAATGACATGATCAAATAGAGGATAAAGGATATAATCTCCAGCGTTGATCAGTTCCGTTCCCGGATGCACTTTCATTAGAATCGTAGTGGCAGTTCGAATGCTTGAAGAATGACTTTCAATGACAAGCCAGCGCCCTAATATACGTTTTTATCCTCGCAGACGAGTCTGGTGCCAGTTGACTGGATGAAAGGATGAAAGGCTTAGTTAACCTGGCCAAGTTTCGTTCTGTGATCCTACTCATGGACCATGCGTGTGTGATAGTGCCGCACTTGTCATCACCTCCATCCAACATGATATCAGCTATATACAAATACAAATTGATTTCAGTCGTTTCTACTGTTTATCACATTCAATGCATTGGAAAAAAGAAGCCTACGAAGAGGAGTTCTGCAGGTCTTAAGGTAAGAGTTGCCTTCCCCGAATGACGAAACATCAACAAAACATTGGCCTTCCCTACACATAGCTAGGCCACCTCAACCAAAGGAAAGGAGTAAAGAATTCTACAGACAGTAGCCTTATGAGAAAGGACAAATCGGGATCAGAGAGTGGTTAAACGGGTATTACAAGGGATGGGCCAATTCTAAGGGTGAATTTTTGTACAAAGCTGACGGTGCTGCTCGCTATAAAGTACAAAGTCAAAGGGTATGGGATAACCATAGCCCCGGTGCCAACCCGTTTTTATCGAAAGATATGTAGATAGAGTGTTGTCGCGCCGGCGGTGACGCCTTGCTCCTCGCTATACGTTGGCATCGGTGTTCGCCGCTTAGGAGCGGCGTCGCCGTCGGCGTGATTACCTGATCGGGGTCTTACGCTGTGCTCGCTCTCGCCCCATTTGCCACGCGGGATATTACTTTGGCCATTGCGGCCCCTACGTTGTCCTACACTCCGACCTTCACCCTACGCGTGCCTCGTCCGACGACCCGGGATAGCCTACGCACACCCTAACCTCAACATTCAAACCAGATATAACTTTCACGGCATAACCGTTTCCGATGTTAAACCACTAACACAATACTATACGCAGTCTTTCATGGATACGCCAATAAGAAAGGAATGTTAACACGACAATGAAAAGAATTGGTAAAAAGGAGTGCATGTTATATACATACATATATACATAAAAAGAAACATGAAATACGTCAGCAATTAAACTGCGATGAAAACCAGCAAACCTACGTCTCAGGTGGTTCGAACCCAGTACGTTAATCTCACGAGGGGAGGCGACGTGGTTCGGGACCGCTCGGCACCTTTGGGCTTCCATGCCCAGGTTGTTCACTTTACATTCCATCGGATTCCATCACACTTCCATGCTCGAGCGGTACGACGACAGGACGACGGACAGGGCGGCCGGCTACGACGAAGAATGTAGACACACTGCCGGATGGTTTTAGGCCAGAGCACGTGTCGAGTATAGCCTACGCGCAGGCGCCGATACGCTGTGCGCGGTGGGACCTCTTCGCGCCCGACCAGGCGTAGCCCTTTAACAAGTAGGGCGGAAGCCACGACAAATGTCATAAGCTCCTCTCTCGAAGATTTATAAAACAGTGAAGTCATTATACGGATGATAATGAGATGTAGACTTCATTGCAGGCAAAGAAGAGGCGATATACCCAGAAGACCACATCGACACCTTCAACGACAGCTCTAGCATCGTCACCTACCCAAGAATCGCTCGAAAGTGAAAAGGTAACGTCAAAGGGCTAGTTGTGTTGAACCAGGAGTTCGTTTTTAAGTGAAACCTGTTCGTTACGGGAGGTCCATTTGCCACCAAGGGCTCAACCCTCCGAGATGTAAGCGGTGGCTTCACCTCGCGTACTATTGGGTTGTAACATAAGTTCGTAGAGTTTTGCGTTAGAGTTGTTCTACAACGACTTGTTTTGTTTTTCAGCAAAGTGTATATATTCATTCGAAAGAGCTCTTTCTCCTCTACAAAACTGTCTTATCTGTTTTTTTGGGGGATTTAAATGTTCGTCTTTTTTCTGGCTCCGAAATGGGATATCTAAGAGGAAAAAATCAGCATTTTCGACATCTGCTTTTCTTACCGAAACACCTCGGGACATATGCAGTGTGTACGGGGAAGGAGTCTTACATAGGTGTGTCTACTGCACAAAAATGGTTCGCAAAGCTTGAAAATGGCGACTTTGACCTTGAAGACACGCCTCGAAGCGGGCGACCTGCAGAATTCGACCAGGAGCATCTGAAGGCACTATTGAAGGAGGATGGTCGCCAAACAATTCGTGCATTGGCTGATTATTATAATAACTTACTTAATAATTTATTACTACAATTATTGCTTTTTGTTCAGAGAAATCTTTGTGAAAATCTCTACGAACTTATGTTACAACCTAATAGATTGTACACCTACTAAATTTGTTAATCTCAATGGAAGCTCTGCTAGTTGGCAGAGTGAGAGCATAGATTTCCTTCGTTGGCAGCTCGTACCTGAAGTTGTCTACAAAGATACTTCCTTGGGTTTCATCCCATCCAGTCTAGCTAACAGTCCATGAGGAAACTCAGCACTCAGCTAAGCCCCACTGCCCCACCATGTGGTCGATGTCACGTTTCAGGGGGAAGAAGCCATGGAAAGAGAACGGTTGAAGAAGAGGCAGCAGCTGCAGAAGAAAAAGATGAAGAAGAAAAAGAAATCAGAGCTCGAAGTGGAAGACTCTCACACCGATTTACCGGGTAGTGTTGTGGATATCCCTAACGCCGATGTAATAGAAGGTAATAATCATTTTTTTTTGCAACAGCATGATAGAAAATCTAGTTCATACATATACCGAACTTTAGATTTGCGAAAACAGTTAGCGAAACGGGAGAGGCCATTGGAGAGGACGGTGCGAGAGCTACTTTGATTGTTTCTGAGTAGATTCCTAAATTTTCGATCCTTTGAAACCAATTAAATGAATTTTTCAGCAAGAAGAGTTCTCGGAAACGAGGAAGGTATCGCTTCATCTTGTCTTTTCGGGAGGGTTTTTCAGTTTTTTTTCTGGGTTTACCTCAAACTTCCACGGAAAATTTACATCGAGCTATTGCACTGGATAGGAAAATACTTCCACCTGATCCAGTGACATGCTCCCAAGTGAAGGTCAGGTCATGCCATTGCTGTCAAGGGTCAAAACTCTGCCGGACTCAAGACATTGAACGTCGTGCACAGTGGAGATGTAAGACTTTGACAAGTGAACCTAGCTTGGGTGCGCAGAGTCGTTCCCAAGTGCACCGCGCGGAGCAGTGCATCTCCCCCTCACCTCCGAACGAGCGCGCGAGCGCGCGTGCCGGCCGACGGCGGCGCTAGCCACTTGTTGACAGCACTGCCACGTAAGCTATCGGCGGTGTTTTCAACAAGTGACTAGCGCCGTCACCGACCGGCATGCGCGCTCGCACGGCCCACCGGTGGACTCTGAAAGCAGCCTATGGCGGGTGGTATATCAGTTTACAAGAGTTTCCTTTCTGTACACTGTTCATTCACTACAAATCACCATACTCCCACTCTCCAAGAGATCTGGCAATCAGCGCAGCAGTTTTTATTGGATTTTGAGCCATAACTACTCCGTTTTCACTGTTAGTTTCAGATTGGTAAAGCAAATTTAGTGTTAACAGAGCAAGGTGAAGACAGAAAATCGGTAGAATGGATTAATGCAAACATTGCACTTTGATGCCGCTGGACCACTATCAAGGATTTGCCGCTGCACGCGATCAGTGACACAGTTTTAAGTGGTCAGCCCCTCCGCTGCGGAGCCTCCTGACCCAGAGCAGAAGACGTTCAGCTGTTGTTACAGAAAGGATACTAATTTACAGGGAATAAACGTCCATTCTTGACAGACTCGGGTGTTGGGAATGTAAGGAATGCCAACATATGCCCCGAACCTAAGGTTTCTGTGTTCCCAACACCAGAATTTTTCCAAAAAATTAGTCGAAAAACAACAGTTTTAGTCTTTCCTCTATGTCATAACAATGCTCTGACACAAAGATTTCCAGACTCCAGAAGAAAAGGAGAAACCAAAAATTGCTGTCACTCAGGTAATGATGATGTTCACTTCATTTTTTCTGGGAAAAAGGAGAGGAAGGAAGCTAAGGGAAAATCATTGTGAAACTTTTCGGGAAACTGACTCAACGTAGTGGCTATATCATGGAAACAGTACTTTAGAGTTATGCAATTTTTAGTGTGAAAGTGGAGGGAGTACACCAGTTAAAACAGCTGTTGAAGATGAAAATATCGTCATTGTTTCAAAGGAATCGATCATTCCGACTATCTGAAATGCTAAATGAGCAGATTACTTTCAAATGGAAGAATCGGGGATCCAGCCAAATAGTGGTTTATTTGCGCTATTTGTCATTGATTTTCACCAGAACAAGTAAAATTGGAGTAACGGGAGATCATTGGCATACTACTCCTCTTGAAGACGCCCCGATTCTTCTGAAACCCATTGAATGTATTGAGTAAAGCTATCAAATCGAAGTTTTCACAAAGGCACAGTTTGCGCTAAAAGTATGTGCCCTTAATGGATTCAGAGCTGGGTGCTTTGGGTGCTTTGGTGTTGGGCGCTTTGGGTAGTGTTTTGGGTGCAGAACAGTTTACTGATGTCGAGAAACTTGAGAGAATTTTCGAAATATAGTGGCTCTTCTGCAGAGGGAGCTCCTAAGGGGGTGTTGGACGAGTTATGACGACGAGTGGGTATTTGGACGAGATTTCAGCCACTGCAGAAGAACGTATTCAAGCTAGTAGCGTGTGACTGCATTTCGCCCTACAAACGCCCGCATTTCGAAGGGATGGTCGGTAGAAGACTGCTAAAAAACCTTTATAAGGGGTGTTGAGCGGTAGGAAGTATCGGAAATGGTTCCTGGGCCATTGTTGAGCCTGATCTGGGCCATCCTTCTTCCCGACTATGTGGTCTCCCTAAAGACACTGAGAAATTCTAACAAGCGAGATTTATCTCAACTACTTCATTGCAAATTGTGCCGTCAATCAATTTTCAATTGTAATCACCTTTTCCCAAGCGTAAAAAAATTCAGTTAGAATGTTGATATTTACCTACCCTTTTTCCAAATTTGAATACTGTAATTCATGTTGGCTTCGATCCATCTAAGAATCCACCACTGACGATGCAGATTTCCCCTTCCTCTGACTAGATTTTCTCGCCCCGTCTATCTAATATAGATTCCTTGGGAAGTTGGTTCCCTTTCCTGGCTAGAGGTTGCTCCAAAGCCTCGGGAATCGACTGGATGAGATGTAGGCTGCATAGAAGCAGGCTTGCAATGGTCAGTCCATAAACCGAAAGATCCATAAGTTCTCGAAATCATTCACCGTAAGTGAGCAGCTTTCAATCTTAAAAATGTCCCAGCTGATTCCAACCCCTACTTGTTTTGTAGGTTCTCTTCCCGGCTATTGTCATTATGTGTTAGTAATCGCTCTGTTCTTAGCTTCTAGGGCCTTTTCCCGATTTCGGTATAGTGTGTAGTTTTCAATGTGTTATTATCGTGCTACATAAAGATGCAAATTACTTGGTTGTTCCAGCACGCTAACATACATGGATGTATGGACCCTTTTATTAGCCAAACTCTACGTCGTTACAGCGCAGGATTACTAGAAGTCCAAGCCCAGAGGTAGAGCGAACAATAGGGAAGTTCTGCGGCTGCTGCAGAACATTTCTCGGAATTGCATGAATTCGTCTCTCTACAAAACGGTAACACCAAAAATGTTGCGGTTGACTGTTGGCGCCATCCCCTCAAAGGCACCGTTTACAATAAATTGAGGGTACCCTTTTTTGACGGGAATTCATAGAACTACTCAAGAATAAAGCGATAACAACGAAAAAAGCGCAAAAAACGATGAAGAAAAAGAAATAGAAAGGGTAAAAAAGAGCTGGAAAGGGGGACTGGACGAGTTTCACATTGGAAGAACGGCGGTTAAGGGAGTGTTCGGGCGTGTGCACGAAGGCGAAACAGTGTCTGCAATAGCAGACAACATACCCAAGCAGACAACTTCGCTCCAAAGCGAAAGTGATGAACGGCAATTAGAACTCGTAGTCAGCCTAGCGAGGGCGGAGACCTCTCGTTCCCCACTGTTCCTGCCCTTATTGTGCCCTTTTTTCGACCTTTATTGTTTTTCTACCTCATTCCTGCACAAATGGTATCAGAGGGGGCGTCGAATTCAAACCATGTGCAGATCTCCAAAACCATTTTTCCGTGAACAGTGCCTTTAACTGAGCTTAACATTTCATTCTCATGGAGATCAAAACGCATCAAAATATCTGCGCTATCTGGTTGGCAATCTCCCCCACTTTACTCATACCTATAGCTCAAGCCATATGCTCATTTACGCCGAAGTGAACAAGGATTTCGACGATGTGCTCTGCAACTAGCTGCTGCTTGAGCAGTCTTGCTCCTCTTCGTTTTTGCTTACGAGCTATGGAATGCTGTCATTCTAACGGGAAGTGTGTGGCGCCCGTCAGGCTCTGTACTTCTGAGTGGTAAAGGCTGGCAATACCTAAAAGGTCTTGTTTCTTGTATAAATCCCTCACGCGTGAAGCCTATAATTCCTACTTGGCCTTCGCCAACAAAAGGGTCTACTGTGCACAAGGAGGGACCTCAATGTATATTTTAGTGTACAATACATCATCAATACACCTAACATAATAATTATCAACTGCGCTCATGTTCATTATCATCAAACAAAATTAAAAGTATGAATAACAGAACAGCCTATAAATAGGAATGAGATCAGTCACCACAAGAACTTTATGTTTGAAATATATATACGACCGCTAAGGACGGGCACGGTCTCTGGGTCAAGCTATGAGCACGTTCAGCTGCATGGCACGCTTCGTAGTTCCAGTTTTGCAGCGCCGGAGGCCTTCAAGTCCCAGGCCACGGTGAGGCGCGGAACAGTAGAGCAGAATCAGTAGGGGCCACGAATTACGTTGGAACAACGACGAGGACGTCGTCGGATAGATGACGCAAAGAGATCGAGACGAAAGCGAATGACGATCGGCGGTCGAGCGCTAGAGTCGCCAGCACACGACTGCCAAGCACGAATCCGTCTTCTGCTGAATGCTTGGCGCACGGTGCATTCCTAGAGGATCAGGCGTCTTCTGATGTCCGCCAAAGTAACAACCGCAGAGCTCGGAGTGGAGAACCAATGGTTTCAATGTCTTCATCTGTGCACTACATATGTATTAACGTGCATATTGATACCATAAAACGATATGATAGATGTTCTTTAATTTGGGATCAGTTTGGGTTGGATAGCATAGATATTGTGAAACTATTTTCAGGACGACCATGAAACGGTCCTCAAGGTTGAATCGACTCCACCGCCGGTACGGTTTTAATGCTAATTCAATAAGCTGAACAATACAAGCATTGTAGATATTTTTTCAGACTGAGACTGAAACTAGTGACCTCGTCACCGTTAACGAAACTCCATCCTCGGTATTTTTGGAACTAATTGGACAGGCTGAATGACATGAATATAATGAATTTATTTCCAGTTGGCTGAGAAAAGCCAAAAGTACCACAGCATTGCAGCAACTCCTACAACGGTATTTTTAAAACTGTTTTAATAAATTACACAAATCAATTATTACTTATATTCTTTCAATTCCAGATCGATTATGGAACTATCGCTGCAGCCACGGTAGTTTTGAAATTGATCAGATAGACTGAAATTTGATTATTTGAAAGATTTTTGAAATTGAGCAAATTCACAGATTTTCTCAGCCTCGGGGCTTTTTATTTAGGAATCTTCGAGTGTCTGGGCATCAGATGTAATGAAGGTGCTTGATATACATGAAAGGAAACCAAAACCTGCTACCTTTACCACAACATCGCACATGGTTATTTTTTTCTCAAAAAAACCTCGATGATTGTTTTTCAGTACTTGTTTACCTTTCTTTTTAACAAACAAGGTCGCTAGCTGAGATAAATATTGCGTGGTCCCGATCCTTGTCTTTCACTAGCTGCAGTAGTCTTTACTGGTATCCGAAAGCGATTAGAGGCCGGCCATTTAGGCGCGATTCAGAAATCTGAAAACCTTATTTAGCCTGATAGCGCATTCTAATGAGTCCTTCCCTAAGCTGATCATGGCTATTACTCTTGCCAGAGGGAGTCAAATTTCGAAAATATCTGATTTTTCTCTATAATTGGGCTAAAAGGAATGGCTATTAAGGGTTTATTCAACTGGCCAGTTCGCCTAAAGCTAATAGTATGTTATTGTATAAACATATTTATGGGGTACCCTGTATTTGGCATCCAATTTATTGATCAGAGACAATGTAGACGTGTTTTCAGGTCGGATATAGAAGCGACGAATCTCTTATAGATGCAAGAACTCAACCTACGGTACGTTTGAATGTGATTAGATGGTCTATCTAGGGAAGATAAGGGGGACGTTTGTCACTCCAAGGCCAAAATAGGAAGCCTCTCAGTATTGTGACTGCCCTGCTCGCATTCCTTCTATCCGGCTAATTCGGGCATAAAAAAGAAAAGCTTTTACTGGTTTCTCCTTTTTTATTAGGTCGTGAAGAAAGTTCTTGCGGTTTTGCGCCTCAAACTTCAAATGCATATATCTCGGCTTGAACGAAACTTCATCAATCGAAATAACAACCATTACTATCGACACACTTTTGTTAACGAGAAACAANAAACAAGTTTGTTTATACCATTCGCATAGAAGTCCGGAGATCTAGAGACGATGAAATCGTCGAATGCCGCGGCAGCATCATTTTGGGTTTTGAAGCATTTCTCTTGAGAAAGCGTCGAGATGTTTAAAGAAATGGTAGTCTATAGGAGCAAGGTCTGGGAAATATGGTGGATGCGGGAGAGCTTCATAGCCTAGCTCCATCAATTTTCTCAGGGTAAGTTGTGCGACGTGAGGCTGGAGTAGAATTGGTCCCCTCCTATTCACCAGTGCAGGGCTCATGAGCTGGAGTTTTCGATGCATTTCGTCAATTTCTTGGCAGAACGTTTCGGCTGTTTTGGTTTCTCCCGGATCCATGAAGCTGTGGTGGATCAGCCCGACTGCAGACCACCAAACAGCACCATGACCTTCTTTCCATGCTGCTTCAGCTTGGGAAAATGTCGTGGGACTTGATCCTTGTACAGCCACTGGCCTGATCGTCGCCGGTTGTCGTGCAGAATCCCTTTCTCATCACACGTCATAATACGGTCTAGAAATGGATTGTTCCTGTTGCGCAGAAGCAAGGCGGAGGCGAGCTCGTAGCGGCGGTCTTTCTGGTGCTGAGTCAACTCATGCGGCACCCACTTATCGAGCTTCTTCTACTTCCCGATCTCCTGCATGTAGATGCCAACCGTCCTGCTGGAAACACTCAATCTTGAGCCAATATCCTTCAGCGTTGTACGTAGATTCTCTTCCACTAACGCTCTCAATTGTTCGTTGCCAACGGCCGATGGCCGCCCACTGCGCTCATCATCTTCCAGGCTCTCATCACCAGTACGAAATTTTTCAAACCACCACTGTGCTGTGCGTTGATTCATCGTACCTAGATCTAAGTCATCGTTGATATCCCGGTCCGTTTCCGTCGCACTCCTGCCCAATTTGGATTGGAAAAGAAAAATCATGCGGATCTGTCGTTTGTCCATGCTGATTTCGACCTCCTGAAAACCCCAGGAATCACTCCAGGGCAAAACCGATTATATATTTGGATAGGGCAAGAAATGCGCTTCAGAATGGTATAAAATCTGCAAAAAATCTAATAGCAAATAACATCGCGGCGAGCATTTGAAAATTGGGCGTCAAAAACCGCAAGAACTTTCTTCACGACCTAATAGGTGGGTTCAGTAGGTTTTCAACCCAGTAGCCTTTGCATGTGAGATGTGGCTGACAGATGATCCGGCTGAACTTCATCCTATCAAATCATTCTATCACGGTTTGCTAGCTCTTGGGCGGGCCCCCACGTAGGCCATACTACATAGCTTGACAAGGTTCTAGTCTTTGAGGGCTGCGGGAGTTAGCAATATCCTTCATCCTGCATCTGGCTTCAATCCCTGGTAGTAATTATGATGTAAAGAGGCCTTATCGTTTCCTCGCTGGGAACGAGGAAAAGCCGACAGAACTACCTGTGTCAGTTTCAAAAGCACTGTTTTACCGTCAGTGGAGTCGAAGCACAGACGGGCCGCTATCCCCTGAACATGGTTTATGGATCGCACGCTGGTCTGAACATTCCGAGTCAGGGAGACCCTCAGTTTTATGGGATTGGTTATGGGCAGAATGCCAATCAGAGTGATGCCCATAAATGGCACTTTGCCCATAACCGATCCCATAAAACTAAGGGCCTTCCTGACCTAGAAAGTAACTTAAAGACTTAGAAAGTCAAAAAGTATTTGAACACTGATTGTTCCATTAGTTGTAGGAACCCTACAATCTACAAGTCTTCCTAGGCCAGCATTCAAGCGCGCTGTCTGGACCATCATTGGAAGTCCAACGCATGGCTCACCCAGACCTTAAGTGTTCCTTCAGCGCAGTATCGTAGGGGATAACCCAAAGGTACTCGCATTCATTTCAGGTTTCTGACTAGTGAATGCGTTGGAAAAGCGAAACAGGTTAGTCCGTCCAACTGATACCTCCTGATATTATAATGTAAAAGAGTTACCCATCTGATTGTCGGACACCTATTGATATATTTCAGCATCAATGAGACCAAGTTCTGATATCATCTCCATAGTTTGCCTTTTCAATTCAAGAATCCATGTGAAAATGAAGTAGTTCAACTTAGTAACAATTTTTGATAACAATCATGTGACTTCCATTTCTTTTGAATAAATATGTCGTCTCAATGTCTGGGGGTATTAGCGATTAAAGAAGGCAGGAAAAAACCCAGCTGGGGCCTAAAGGCAAAGTCCAAATGTTCAAGACTCCGTAGAAGCGTATGCATCGTCAGGGATGAGCTGTGACAGTTCCCCTACGTGACTAAAAAATTCCTTTCAAAAATTACTTCTCAAAAAAGACTTGTCACTTAGTGATATGCTTGTCCTATTTGTGAAACAGACCCTGTTCATGTATGATTGCCAACGAGGACTCTTTTTGTTGCTACAAGACGACTATTCGAGCTGTTTGGAGATTAAAGATGAATTTGTTGACGTAATTCGATCTAGTATGAGGGCTGCGCCCCGCACTCGGTTTCTATTCAAAATCGTAGGGCGGTTTTGTGCCACCACAACATCTCCGCCCAAAAGAGGCCCTGTACAATGGCTGGAGGCAACTGGTAGGTGTAAAAGTCACTGTTTTGCCCCTCTAGACGAGTTTTAACCAACCCTGGAGGGATGGAAAGTATCGTTGGTCTAGGCCGATATCGATCCGGGATTCAAATCTGTGACCGTGCGTGTGTTATACTGCGCAACTTGCCACCTCACCATCTCCGCCCAGAAGAGACCTTCAAGCCCATCACCAACCTCTCCTCTTAAGATGTGTAACGGAGATAGCTTCGTTAGGAATGTCAATGATGACTGGATGTATGTCTGGCAGATAAAGTGATTTCCAAGAGAGAGTCAACGGGCTTGTCGTCATGCTCATCGTCTCGGAAAAAGTGGCAGATTGCTACTGGTGATTTGGATCTCGATTAGGGCAGATCCGAGGTCCAACCCGAAAATCGCACCATGTAACAATGCCACATCCCACTAATTCATCTAGAACACCTAAAATAAGATGAGTGAATGACTTTATTCATCACTACTGAACAAACTCACACAACGATCGAAAAGGTTTAAGCAAGTAAAGAGTAGATGAAGTACAAATAAAAAAGAAAGCTTCCTTTTCATCACACGCTGTTCAAGCTGTGTCGGCGTTCTTCGAGATCATCCTACGGTCGTTTCGCCATATCCCAAACCTTCAACGATCGCCTTCATGGAAAATTTTCTGACGTAGACGGCTTGGCCACGATAGCAAACAGGATTGGCTGTCGGCGTGATGAAGACTTGGCAATTTCTGTCGTCGTTTTACCGGAGGAAACCTATAGGATATTGTATTGTCCTGAACGACAAATCAATGGCTTTAGAAATCGTTTTTGAAGGATCTTCCCCTAAACAGTTAGCAGTGGACGCCCCGGATTGCTAACACAAGGTTTCAAATGCTCAGGACATTTGGTAAAGTATGGTGTGATACGGTAGTAACGATGTCAGATTCCAATGCCTACTGAAAGACCAAGAGGGGGCATGATGGTGGAAGATGTGGGTGTGGAGCCGTTTGGAGCTCTCGAAGTTGGTTGGAGCCTACCTGTTCAGTCGTCTTGGTTGGAATTCGCTACATGGTGGGAAGAGTCGTATCGGTTGAATTTGGGGCCGACGAGGAGGCTGAAAAGAGCGCATTTNCAGGTTTCTGACTAGTGAATGCGTTGGAAAAGCGAAACGGGTCTGTCATTACAACCGATATTAACCAACTATTATAATGTAAAAGAGTTACCCATCCGAATAGTCGGACACCTACTGTTATATTTCAGCATCAATGAGACCAAGTTCTGATATCAT